ACTTGGGCCAGGTGCATATTTGCCTGTAGGATGGGGGAAAGCATAAAAGTAGAATGCCCAGCGCCATCTGATACCTACCGTGTTACTCAGAAGTTGTTTATCACGAGTCACAGCTGAAGAATGAGTTTCATCACTGAGTTGGAAAAGGAGCAGAAAGGTGCCATTATCCCCGAGGGGTCCTGGCCTGCTCGTCTGTGTCTGGCTTGTACACTCAGTCACACCAGGGTTTGTTCTGGAGCAGAGCTGCCTCCTTTGGGGACTCAGTGACTTGACGTGGGCACATGCAGTTTGTTTGGTGCCACTCACACGTTCTCAACGCGGTGAGTCCTCCGCTCCTTGAGAACACAGCTGCCCGTGCACATTGAACGCTGCTGGAACGAATGCCAGGCGGCAGCGCAGTTTATCCTCAGACGTGCATGTGGATTGGAGGAGCAGGCCTGGTACTATAGTTTGACCAAAATTCTGCGCACAGCTGTGATGCTTGGATTCCCTCCTATTGAAAAGAAGAGGAGGAAAAAAAGGAAGAGAAGAATCCAAAGTTTGTCATTGAAAGGCAGTTTACAGCCAGTTTCAAACACAATGCATACATGATACATAAATCTTTGTGCCAGTTGTTCCTCAGGCATCTCATGAAGGAAACAGTTCCAGTGATGGAAAACTGGGTTCTTATCAAAACATCCCTCAATTTTCTTAAAGACCTCCCATCATTTGTGGCTTATCTATTTGTTTAAAATCATGACCTGTTCATGGTTCTTCCGTTTATTACCCTAACACACCACACGATGAGGCTGGCGCACAGCTGCATGAAGGGGGTGCAAAGAGGAGCACGCAGTGGTCTGCGCCCTCAAGCATTCTACAAGTCTTGCAGGATGAGATCAGGCCCAACCCAATCATTGCCTGAAGAGTCTGTTTGACTCTGGGCAACTCCCTGGTTATCAATGGGACTGCTCCAGAGGCCTTCCCTGGCTGCCATCTTTATCTTTATAGGAGCAGATGGCCAGCCCTTTCTTCCTTGGTACCCTGGGCAAGTTCAAACCCACCTTTCGCGTTTGTAGTTGAGCATAAAACATTTTCATCACCCAAGGACCTACTAGATTGCGATGCTTTTAGGTGCTGGTGAGTCTATTTACCCTGGGTGCCCCATGGGGTTTTCCTAGGATGAATCTTGATAGAAGCATGTCACCATGCAGGTCCCCTGTGGAGTCACTGAATGGACTCGAAGCATCAACCTTTTGGGTGGGTAAACATGGGACACAATGCGCTGACTGGTCGATGAGGTCTGTGTATGTGGTCCAGAGTGATGGAGCAGGGAGCTGGGACGTGGTCTCTGTACTGCAGTTGATGTTTGAGTTGGCCTCTGAGGTCACTTGGGCGACGCGTGGGGAAGGAAGACAAGACTGGGGCAGGACTGCGTTTTGAGCAGAGGGAAGAGCATCAGAACACGCGCGAAGGCACTGCAATGTCTGTGTGATGCATTTTGGAGACATGCAGGGAGTTGCTTGTGCTCTGAGCACAGAGCGCGTATGGGAAGAACCTGGCAGGAAACAGTCCTGAAGAGAGAGGTGACAGGGTGGCTGCAGAGGCCCTGTGTCCTGTTGAAGAGTTAAAATTTATTTATTGGGGGGATCTGGGAGTAGGTGGGCAGGGAGAGCAGTGGGGGAGGAGTGATAAGGGGGGACCCAAGTTTGATTCTTGGCCAGTGAACCTCATGCCTGGCACCTGTCGGTTAGTGGAGGCTTGTATGCTGAAGACAGACTCGAGGGAAAGGTCTGGCGATCTGCTTTTGGAAATCAACCCACAAGACGCCAGTGGGTTATGGATCACGGTCTGATTTATAATCGATCGTAGGCGGGATGGTGGAGGTCTGAGCAGCATTTTTATTCCTCTTTGCATGCAGTCATCATGAGTCAAGAGCCAGCTCCCCCAGCGAATAGCCACCACACACATTATAGCCTCATGAGCTGAAGAGTCGTGTGGTGTGTCTTATGAAGGCAACTGAGGGGTGGATTCCAGGTGGAATGTGTGAGCTGAAGCCCATTAGAAGGTGATGGTAACTGCTTGGCAAGAGAAGGCATGGGCCTCAGCCAGCCAGCCAGCCAAGACAGGAAGAGAGGGAGGGATTTACCAAAGGTCCTGCGGGAACAATTGGCAGGACTTGAATGGAATTCAAAGGAAGGCTGAGGAAGAGGGAGGGAGTCAGTTGCCTGCCAAGCTGTCAACTGGTGTGGTGAGGAGTTGATTATGCCCCGTACTGAATCTGGATAGGCGGCTGGAGGGGGCCAACGGGGCATGCTGTTGTAAGAGGTCTCGATATTGAGCATGGCCGTGGTCATGCCAGATGTAGGTCGGTCCCAGAGCTTGATCCCTCTGCCACATGGTATACCTCTGGATAGCAGAAGCTGCCATTTCTGAGCAGTTTAGCCTCTTTAAATGATGGAGAAAGATTTGGAGGAAGCTGCAGGCTAAAAGGGATGAGATGCTGATAGGAAATATATAGAATACTTGTATTCCGTTCCATAAATCCTCTATGAAGTACGTCTGGCTAGTCCAACCTATTTTAGGTGAGGGGACAGACTTATAAAAGATTCAATGGTGTGCCCAATGTCAGCTGCAATCCAAACCCAGTGCTTCTTGATATAATGGCTTCCAGTTGTCAGTGTGATCTACCCTTCTTTAAATGCCTCCACAGACATCATCTGATCTAACCCTGTCTCATTCTCTGCCATCAGGTTGATGCGGACTCATAGTGGCCCTGTAGGACAGGGTAGAACTGCCTCTGTATGTTTCCATGGCTCTTTAGGGGAGCGGAAAGTCTCCTCTTCGTCCCGTGGAATGGTTGGTGGTTTGAACTGCTGACCTTGTGAATTGCAGCCCAATGCATAACCACTATGCCACCGGAGCCCTGCCTACTTTTTCATGTTTATTACTTGCCACTTTCCCTTTCCTGGACATAGCATGGTGCCTTCCTCTTGCTTTGTGAGTTACAGCTTTGCTGATTCGAATGTCCTTTTCAGCCTACTCTACTCCCTAATTAATTGGACCGCTATCCTTCCGATTTCAGTTCCCGTGGAGAAAGTTCCTTTCACTCTTGGGAGCAGGAGGAAGCCTTGGTGGTATAGTGGGTTACCTGTTGGGCTGCTGACTCCTAGGTCAGCGGTTCGAAATCACCAGCTGCTCTGAGGGAGAGAGATGGGGTTTCCACTCCTATAAATAACTAGTCTCAAAAACCCACAGGGGGTAGTTCTCTCTTGTCTACAGGGTCATGATGAGTCAGAATCCACCCGATGGCAGTGAGGTTTTCTAAGAGTAGGTCAGACATCCCTTTCAGTGGGTTTTTACTGCAATGTGGACTTTTCCTTCCCACCACTTGTAACAGTGATGGCTCCATGTTTATTGCTCTGAGTCGATTCCCGTGTGTCCTCGTCACTTAGTGAGTTCACTGCAGAGTAGAGGTGGTTTGGGGTGCATTGGTATATCTCTGGCAAGTTGTGTCAAACCTGTTACCCATAAGTGGAATCTAGCGTATAATGGCCACCTGTTTCCAAGTAGAACTTCATTCCACATGGTTTTCAATGGTTATAATCTTATGGAAATAGGTCACCAGGCCTTTCTGTCCTGGCACCAACCGCCTTGCAGTTTGTTGTTGAGCATAAACCATGTGTGTCCACCATGAACCTAATACTGGGCATAAACTTGGCAAAGAGTAGGGATCAACATCTATTTTTTGAGTGGAAGAATGACATCAAAATTCCAGGCTCTTAGCCATTTTACTTAAATGAAAGGTCTTAGAAAGTTGTGTATTAAACAGATGAAGTTTTCCTTGGAATGGAAGAACCGTATGTCATGACACCCACTGAAAATATATCACACAGAATGAAGAGTTGGATAACTCATTGGCATTAGATCCAGGGGTTGAGTCATGGAGACTGACTACAGTCAGTAACAGATCCAAAGATGGAGGAACCAAAAGTGGCCATTCATTTGCAAAGTGATAAAGATGGAGAATTATCTTAAGTGCAGAAGAGTTCAAGATAATATAAGTAAACTAACACACTGGTATGCCTGTGAAAGCGGACACTGAATAAGGAAGACTGAGGAAGATTTGATGCATGTGAATTAGGATGCTGGTAAAGACTACTGAAAGCACCAGGAACGACCAGAACAAACACATCTGTCTTGGAAGAAGCTTGGCCAGAATGCTCTGTAGGAGCAAGGATGGCGAGGTGGCTCATGCACTTGGACAAGTCATCAGGAGAGGACAGTCCTGGGAGAAAGGACATCTTTTTGCTAACGTAGAAGGGCAGTGAAAAAGAGGACGATGCTTGACAAGATGCCTGGACACAGTGGCCGCAACAATGGGCACAAACATAACAATCAGGAGGACGGTGTGGACCAGACAGTGTTTTGTTCTGTTCTCCTGGAGTCGCTGTGAGTCGGATCTGACCTGAGTTGTGCCTGACTGCAGCAGCAGCACACCCATAGCCACCCCGCCCTGTGACAGCATGAAGAAAGGCCTACGTGCAGCCTGAAGACCGAGTACACGCTGTGACAGATCCAAAGATGGAGGAACCAAAAGCAGCCATTTGGTAGAAGGAGAGCACATGGTGTCAGACCAACCCAGGAGCAGAGAGTCCTCTGCTAGCTCTAGTGCCAGGTCACCTGGTAACTTAGGGGGCTGACAACACGATCTTGACTCCTCACAGAAACCAAGACATAATAACTAGCCTGATTTTACACTGAGCCTCAGTTCTAGGTTCTTGGTCTGTTTTAGGGCCTGGACTTTAACTGGTGCATGAAGCCTGCAGACCCATTTTTCATATATGTATATATAGATTTTTTTAACACACAAAAACAGAACAGCAATTTACAAAGGCGATTATCCGCCGACAAGCTAAGAACCACTGGGCCCCCATTGATCTGTGTGTGTGTTTCTGACATGCAGGAAGAGCCTGACCATAAATCCTTGGTAACCAACTCGGTCTACTTGTCTTTCTCCTCAGTTAATGTCCATCAGTGTGCTGGCGGTGTCTGCGTGGATGAGGGACTACCTGAATAATGTTCTGACCTTAACTGCGGACACAAGGTAGGCTTCCTCGTCAATGGTTGATCTCTTCCATCCCACCTGTCAGGGGCTGGTTTTTAAGTCACTTTGCCCTCAGCTCCTTAGGTGGTGGCACCCTGGGTGGTGTTTCAGGGAGTTGTTCTGGCCAATGGGGCCCTTGGGTGTGCACACTCGCATTCTCTGGCATTCTCATTAAAGGGTGCCCTTGGTCCCAGAGAGGGCCTGGGGCATCAGGTGCCGGATTCTGGGTAGGGTTACACCAGGCACCTGCACTCTGAACTGTGTGTCGGTCACCTCATATTTGCATGTCCTTTGACAGCTCTCTGTTTCTGCACGTTCCAGCTACTCTGTGCTAGAAAATCATCATCCACACGCCATACCTTCATGGTCCTGTGACTTCCTGAAAACCTTCGTTCCAAAGGTTGATCCATTCACATCACAAGGGGCAAATTACTTCTCTTAGCCTCCATCTGTTTGTGTCTGAATGGTGATGTTGTTTATGTCGCTCTGGATGAGCATCAGGGTTAAAGGAGATACATGTTTATAAAGCCCTCAGCACAATGGAGTCTAATAGACCCCAGTGTGGACATTTTTCTTATTGTTCTTACAGCTCCCACGCTGACAGCTCCTAGTCACACATTTTCTATGTAGTCTTTTGGCAAGACTCATCTTTCTCCCTTCTTCTTTCTTTGCTTAGAGACAGCTTCTCCTCTGTGTCATTAGCAGTCTCTCTCACTTTGGAGAAGGACCAGTTGCTGGGGGAGACGGAAGGGCGACACCTGGAGCTCCAGTTCTGAAGCAGAAGAGGGACATTCTTTCCAGCTGGGAAGTAGTGCAGGGTGCCATGCTTTACTCAGGCTGACATGTCAGGACTAATAGTAGATCTGTTAACAGCAAGGTCAGAAGTTCTAAACCACCACCTACTCAACAGGAGAAAGAAGAGGTTCTCGTCTCCTATCAAGATTTACAGGCATCAACCTACAGAGGCAGTTCTACTCTATGTTTGAGGGCCCCAATGAATCAGGCTTGACTCAATGGCAGTGAGATGAGAATAGTAACTATATTTGTTATAAGAGCCTTGGTGGTATAGAGGTTAAGCACCGGGCTGCTAACCAAGAGGTGTGTGGTTCAAGTCTACCAGTCACTCTATGGGGGGAATAAGGAGGCAGTCTGCTACTATGAAGATGTCCAGCCTTGGAAACTGTATGGGGCAATTCTACCCTGTCTCACAGAGCCACAGTGAGGGTGAGGCGGTACTGACACCAAGAGCTTTTTTGTGTGGGATGCTATCTTATATTTTAAATGAGTTGGTCAGGGTGTGTAGTGGATTTGAGGGAGTTTAAGTCGGACTATGGAACAAAACAATGAATGACTTTGAGAGAGCAGCTGTTACCACAAGTTGTTTATTGGGGTTCACGTGTTGACAGCGAGCGATGTGTAGGGTTCAGCCTACACACACACACACACGCACACACCCCGCTCCCCAGCAGGTGGTATGGCCTTCTAGAGGCAAGCTGGTGGGTACTGGGAAGACCAGAACCGGAAGAAAGAAGGAAACTCCCAAGCAAGGGGAGAAGGGCATGGGGGGAGGAGGCTTCTCTCTGCCTAGGCCGTGCGTCCTTCTGCAGCAAGATGGAGCACCAGTGTCCAGCGCTCCAAGAACCGCAGCAACTCAGAGTCCCTGTGCGCAGGGTTCTGTCTTCTATAGGGCTGGCACATACAGAGGCTGAGTGCCGTGTCATGGACGCTGGCAGATTCTAGTTGGTAAAACTTCTGCTTATTGGGTTATGTTAATAAGACTGCCAATGGTGCGCACTTTGAGCAAACCATCCCAGCCCATTACTGATGGAAAAATAACCTGGGGTCAAACACGTAGCTGCCATCGCTGGTTCATTTATACCTAGGAGTACTGCCCCTTGTTCATAGGAGCAATGAAAGTGGTGATAAGACAAGCAAGCCAATACATAAAGGCACAATGGCACAGTGGTTTTAAAAATACCACCCTCAGCCCGAAGCATGAAGCACCAACGAGGGACTCATCAGCGTCATGGTTTGGTGGTGGGCTCCGTCGTGGGTGCACTTTGAGGCTGTTTTGGTTTCTAATGTGGCTCCCCTTCTTCTTTCAGGGTGGAGGAGGCCGTCATCCTGACTTACTTCCCCGTGGTGCATCCCATCATGATAGCCGTTTGCTGTTTCCTGATCATTGTGGGCATGCTAGGGTACTGTGGCACCGTGAAAAGAAACCTGTTGCTTCTTGCTTGGGTATGATGTTTCTGTCTGCCTTTCGTTCTTGTTAATGACCAGCCAGAAATGTGTTTGTTTTTGAGCCAGCTCAAAAGAGACGTGGTTTGGGAAGCTGTGACATTGCCCTTTGGAAAATGCACTGACGTTGCATCATTTCTGACTCATCCCAACCTTCCAGGACAGAGTTGACCTGCTCCATAGGGTTTCCAAGGCCATAATCCTTACAGAAGCTGACTGCCTCATCTTTCTCCTGTAGAAGTGGTTAGTGGGTTCGAACTGCCGACCTTTCGGGGTAACACTTACCCATGGCACCACAGGGGCTCCCTGGGGACTCTGACAGCAGGGCTTTAATCTAAGGGTAATTGTTCAGCCTCCCGTGACAAGAGAAGTGTTCTTCCCATGAGAGATGATTTCAATACAACTGTTGCCTATACCCAGACTGCAAGGTATGATAATGTGAGTGCTATTTAATTATTTTACTCAGGTTCAAGGGTGACATTTCCCTTTGAAAACCCGAGCTCTTTGCAGTCTGAGCAGCCACAGCATAACTCAAAACAAGATCCTGTGGACTAGGATTTGAAAGTCACAGTCAACCTTACTTTTTTCGTTAAACACACCCTCTCTGCCAGTCTACATGGAGGTGGTGACCTTGACCACCTGGGCTTACCCTCCAGCCACTGTCTTAACACAGCTAAGTGGACGTAAGAGTTAGTTTCTTTCTTTTGTAAAATTCTGAAACAGACCCAGTTACTTCCTAAATTCTCTTCGGTGTTGAAATGCTGCTTCTAAAGTCGATGATTAGACTGGTCATTCAAAATGAGAATGGGACTTTGAGTCAATGGCAAATACAGCATGTCCCTAGACTTTGAGAGGCCCGTCCTTGTGGGAGACGCTAGATGCAGGTGGGGCTAAAATATTGGTGCAGGCGTGCTGTGCACCATCAAGTCGACCCTAGCACATTGTGACATCGGAGTGCAGGAGAGAGCCGCTCCCCGAGTGTTTCCTAATCGTAATGGGAGCAGGTGGCCAGGGCTTTTCACCCATGGAGAGGGAGGGTGACGGCTTCAAACCGCCAACCTTTTGGCTCAAAGCTGAGCACTGAACCATCGTGCCACCAAAATGATTTCTATGCACATGTTCCTTTCTTTGCAGTAGTTCCTATCTCTGGCTACACGTTCCTTTCATATAGGAACTTAAAGTGGACAGGCAGATCTGGGGGTTCCATTCTAAACTTTATCACTTCAATAATGTGAACAGCTCAACAAAGCGAGTCACACGGGTTTGCGTTTTCTTAGTTTCCCAGTGTATGTTAAGAACCCTGGTGGCCTAGTGGTTAAGTGTTGGACTGCTAGCCTTCAAAGCTACCAGCTGCTCCAAAGGAGAAAGACGAGGCTTTCGACTCCCATAGTCACAGTCTCAGAAACCCTGTCCTGCAAGTTCCTATTAGAACTTAGGCAGTCTAGCTCAGCTTCGCCCCGCTACAGACAGTCTGGTTCTATGCGGTCCTGTAAGGTCGCTGTGAGTGGGAATGTGGTCTCTACCCTGTCCTGTAAGGTCGCTGTGAGTGGGAAT